GGTGGTCGGGCGCGAGGAGAGGCGCCTGGCTTCAGGCATCCCTGCTCGGGCTGCTCCTCGCCCTGAACTGTGGCTCTGAAGTCGTGCCCTGCTGTCAGGTCATAGATGTGTAAGAGCGGTAGCGTTAAGGTGTTTTGCAGAGCCGTTAAGTTTTTTGATGTCTCTAAATCTAGATGGTCACCAGGACAGAGGGTCAAATTGATGACTCTCTAATTGGTGGCAATGCCTCTGCTGAAGGTCCTGAGGGAGATGGAGCAGAAGCCACGGTCATAACTGGTGTTGATATAGTAATAAACCACCACCTCCAGGAAACCAGTTTTACAAAAGAATCCTACAAGAAGTACATCAAGGACTACATGAAAGCGTAAGTGTCGGTCGGCTTTTCCTTTGAATGGGTTTGCGAAATTTTTAGGTCGCTGAGATTTTAAAAACAGCACTGAACTTTATTCCTAGTAAGTGTTAGTCCTGGTGCAGGTGCCAAACTGGCTGTGAGCTTCAATAATATCTTGATATTTGGCAAAACTTGAGCTGTGAAGAATTGATACTGGAATAGCAGAGTTTATTTTGGCTGAGCTAGGGGACCTGATCATGTGCTTTGGGTAGTATTTGTAACCTTCTTGTTTTCTTTTGGATTCCTCTATGCCAAATCTTCATGTGGAAGGGGGTGAGGTGGTGAAGAAAAGCTTCCTGGAGCTTTTCTGACTTAACAGTTTAAATATCCAAAAGTAATGTGTGTGAAGGGAACTCTCTGCTCCCTCAAGCTGTAACTTATGCTGCTCACGGCTGAGTGGGTTAGTAGTAATGGTGAAAATGCTTTGTGATACTGATAGCATACTTGATGCTGTGGAAATGGCTTGATAATTTTAGTTGTCTGCTAGCCTAGAAGTAAAATGAGCTTGATATGAGGTGGCAGGCACTGCTCTGCTCATTCACTAGCAAAATTCAGGTAATCTGGGGGGTTTTGAGAGGGAGAGGAGGGGAAGAGGCAGCAAAACCATACCGTTGGACTGCTAGTACATCTTCCTGCTGTGATGTGATGCTGCGTAGTGAAGTTAAGCTAGAACGTGTTTTCAGAGCTTTCTCTTTTCCCTTGCAGAATTAAAGCCAGACTTGAGGAACACAAGCCAGAGAGAGTAAAGCCTTTCATGACAGGGGCTGCAGAACAAATCAAACACATCCTTGCAAACTTCAAAAACTACCAGGTAATGGACTTTAATGTCTCTGTACTGCAGTGATACAGGCTGCAGTGGGTTCATCTGCTGAACTAGTTTGAGTTTTGAGGGCTCCTTGCTTTTCTCTGAGACTACTGGGGGCTCTGAGAGTCAGGAAGGAGAAGTTAACGGGTTTAAATTGAAAGCGGGGAGATTTAGATTGGATATCGGGAAGAAATTCTTCCCAGAGAGGATGGTGAAGCACTGGAACAGGTTGCCCAGAGAAGCTGTGGATGCCCCATCCCTGGAAGTGTTCAAGGCCAGGCTGGATGAGGCTTTGAGCAACCTGGTCTAGTGGAAGGTGTCCCTGCCCATGGCAGGGGGGTTGGAACTAGATGGTCTTTAAGGTCCCTTCCAACCCAAACCATTCTATGGGTCTGTGAAATAAGGAAGACTCTTGTGTGTTTGGGCATCTCATTTCAGTTTGCAGGGCTTGTAGTTAAGTACATTTGTAGTTGCCAATGTTTAGGAGTGGTGGAGTTAGACTCGTAAGATGGATTGCTGTGTCTCAACGCTGCTGTTCATAGCAGTGTGAAACAGACAAGCTGTCAAAGCACAATCCCTGCAGCTGGCCAGGGAGACTCTTAAGCTGTAACATCTCTGTCGTGGTTTAACTCTGGCT